TCTGTTGGCCATCTGAATTTCTTCTTTGGAGAACTGTCTGTTCAGCTCCTCTGACCATTTTTTTATTGGATTATTTGCTTTTTGTTTGTTGAGGTGTGTGAGTTCTTTATATATTTTGTATATCAACCCTTTATCGGATCTGTCATTTATGAATATATTCTCCCATGCTGTAGGGTGCCTTTTTGTTCTTTTAATGGTGTCCTTTGCTGTACAGAAGCTTTTCAGCTTGATATAGTCCTACTTGTTCACTTTTACCCAAGAGGCAATTTAATGGTGTGGTTCGGAGGGAAGGCTTTGGAGTCTTGATTCACACCCAGCTCTGCCCCTGGCCTCCTGGGTGTGCTTGGGTGAGTGTCTGCACCCTGTTGCCTCAGTTTACCAATCTGGAGATAGCAGTCCCTACTGTCCATGTTGCCATGAAGGTTCTGTAGGTTACCCCAGGCCAGGCATGGTAAGCACACTCTGTGGCAGTGATTCTTATTAGTGTAGTTATTACTGTGCCCAAATGGGAAGAAAAATACTCAGGGTGTATGAACCGGTGCCTGGCGTGTGTTTATGGGGAACCCCAGAGCCAGCCACTAAGCTAGGGATTTGCTCTGAATTTTCCCTAATGAGAGAGGCAGCTCTGGAGGCAGGTACCTCGAGCTTGAAGCCATGTCTTAATCTCCTTGACAAGCAGGCAACACACCAGCCAGCTGGCTCTTCATCTATTGATTTATTTTTCTCTCTTCTTTTTACATTTTCTCTTTCAGTCACTCAGGTTGATGGGGATGGGGCTTCCCTTATGCTGGGGTCCACACAGGCTCCCTTTGGCCGTAGCCCCGCCTGGGGGCTGGGGGTCCAGAGCTTATGTGGCCTCTGATCCATAGCCCCCTGGCTGTTGCAGTTCCTCCTTGATCCACTCCTTCCAGATCTGTGCCAGGCACAAGGTGACGCCTGCTCTGCTGAGGCCCCCTCCTCAGGGACTTGGGGGTGGGGGAGGATTGAATCACCCAGTGGATATAGGCCGGGACAGGGCTGCAGTTAGGAGCCAGGGCCTGGGACTCAGGCTTCCTGGGCTGGACTCCCTCTGCAACTTACCAGCTATAATCTTGAGCAGATGTTTCATCGTCAGTGCCTCAGTTTCCTTCCCTGTGAATGGGAATAACAAAAATACCCTCCTCCTAAGGCATTTGATGGGCTTAAAGAAGATGGCATAGTCCAAGTGCTTAGCACATGCCCGTCCCTCACATTCAATGAGTGTGAGCTATTTCTCATGTAAGAGCTTCTAATGCACAGATCCTTGTGGTTAAATGGAAAAATACAGGAAAAGAGTGAAAAAAGCATCTTTGCTCTCTATAGGTGAGGTAGTTTGGAGAATTTTGAGAGTCCTTAAATATAAGAGCTAAGAGCTAAGGGTTGAGCTAAGACATGTGGGTGCCCCACGTGTGGTTTACTTATCTCCCCTTAAATCAACAGTGGGGTCCTTGAGGGCAGGGCCCAGCACACAGTAGGTGCTCATATAATGAGAAATGATAGTGACAGCCTAAGTGACCCTTGACATTTAACAGCCATCATTCCTGTTACCCACGGTTCCCCCAAACTGCAAATAATGCCAGTTTACAGGATATATTGTTTGACTCAATGCAAAATGTACAGCAAATTCATTCATTCCTGTCCCCTTCTCTCTGCCAGAACTTTGGAGTCATTGTCTATAAGTAGAAAGAGGGTTTCTGATGATTTGGACACATGGGGGACCCAGGGAGGTCTCCAGAGTAATTGCCAGCTAATTGGTCCTTGAATAATCTACAAGGACCCGTCTGGGTTTGCAAACCAGACTCTTCCCTCATTAAATTGGTTTTCATTTTGCATTCACCTCATAGCTCTGGGCATGGTGCCCACACCTCACCTCTATGGACAAAGCCCCCAGACCTTGAAATGTGGGAAGGAGAGGGATTTGTGGGGACAAGGAAAGGTCAGGGGCTATTTGTCTCTGTGAGAAGCATCTGTCATTTCTACAATTTGAAGGGACTAATTGTCCTTTGGGCTCCAGTCTTGGGTTCTGTGGATCTCAAAATTAATGCATCAAATTAATTTTGTGGTCCCTTTGCTCAGGCTGATTAGCACAAATTAAATTTCACACTAATTGTCTAAGGTGGAGAGAACACAGTCCTGGTGTTTGCGATCAAGGCTGATCACGGGGATGGTGGGTGGCAGGGACAGGGAGGTTCCCGGATTGTGACCACCTTTAGCCGGTGTCCTTTGCAAGTGACCACCTCTCCTGCCCCCGTGCTTGTGTGTGTTTATAAGCAAATCTAACCTGTCTATAGCCGAGTGTGAAGCCACAGTTAGGAGGAGATCCTGGCAGTTTCTGTGGCAGTAATTTTTAAACTTTGCTGGGCTTCAGAATCACCCTGCAGTGTGTTAAAATTCATATTTCCTGAACCCCATTGCAGAAATTACGGTTTGGGGTGCTGAAGATCCTAGAATTTGCATTCTGACAGCCATCCCGGGTCATTGCAATGCAAGTGTTTCCTCAGAACACTTTAAACAGGACAGTGTAAGGAGTGGCAGAGGGTTGCCCCACCCACAAGACAGCCAGGAGCACCCTGGGAGAGTCCCATTGCTCATTGACTGGTGGCCGTGACTTGGATCTGACGGATTTGGGTTCAAGCCCCAGCTCTGTCACTTACTCACTGTATGACTTTGGAATGCTGCCCCTAAGTCTCCTTTTCTCCACATAACAGTTGAAATCTGCACTGCATTCTGCCCATCCAGTGGTGGGGGCAGCAGGATAGGCAGCCGATGGGCTGGCGAGGGAAAAGGCTGGGAAGCTTGTGCAGAACAGACTCAGATTTGTAGCTCCATTATTGTTTTGACTATTTTTTAAAGATAATTATTTTGTGTGTTTCTGATTACAAAAATAATATAAAAAATCAGCAGTACAGAAATACATCACAAGGAATTTGGACCCCCTCTGAGCCCACTCTTCCAGGAAAAAAAACCCTCCCAATGAACAGTTTGGGAGGGACTTTTTCTGTTCAATTATAAACAAAAATGGGCACAGGCCGCACGTTCTACAGCTTTGCCTTCTTTTCATATTGCCTAGGGGGATTTATTTTCATGTCAGAACATGTAGATCTTCATTCTTCTTGAATGATTTTTGAGGCAGCCTGGGAGCTGTTAGTATAGAAGGGAACTAGCTCAGAAGGGCAACTGGATTCTACACTGGAAGGCCACTTAGCGTCCCTGTGATAAACCCCACAGTTGTCTGCCTGTGTGACACAGAGGGTCTGATGGGAGGGTGGGGTGTTTTGACATGTTCATGCACAACATTTATGGCACTAACTATTACTTAATTCAAAGCATTTGATGGCTAAGTGACCGAAGCCACAGAGACGAAGAGATTTGCTCAAGGTCAAACAATATGTTAGTTGTTGTATCCTGACTTGAACCCTGTACTTGACCCTCTTTTATTTATTTTTCCTTTTCCTTCTGTCCTTCTTGACTTTAACCACTGTCTTGCCTGGGCTGAGAGGTAGTTCTCAGTTTTAGGAGGTCCCTTCTGTGCAAGTTCATTTCTGAGTCTCTTGGTCATAAATAGTCCACTTGTGTTTCTCTCCTTAATTTCTTCAGCCTGCCCTTGAACCTGGAAATGCATTTTGGAACAATAATACCACAGAAGCCCAGACCCATTTGGTATCTGTAGTTAGTTAAGTGGGGAAAAAAGTGCAAGTGGAAATTCAGAAAAAAATAAACATTTTTATTTTTACCTTTGAGCATGTCTACCTTAACTCGTTGTATTTCTGAGGTAGGAACAAAGCCTTTAGAATCTGAACATCTTGACTTGAGATCCACTTATTTCATTCTTAAACCATGCCCCTAATACTTGACTATGTGATTGTGATTTCTTTAAAAGTAGAGCAAATGTCAAGTACTTTGTATGCAGAAACCTAATCTTTTATTTCTAGTTTTTTTGCACCTATACTGATCTGACAGAATTTTAAGAAACAATTTCCATTTTCATTCCTTCCAAAGAGCATTCAACCTAATTTTCATGGAAACTCTTGGTCCAGTATTTTATAGGTTTATGCAGCAGCTAATTGGACAGATAATTAGAGTAAAAATGCAACAAGCATAAACGTGGTTGGGGGAAACCCACACAGGTGATACTGGGTGTGCGTGACCATCGCCTTGTAGAGGCAGATGGACCACGGTGAACCAAAGAGGTTTCCTGGCCAAGAGCATTTCCAGGTGGCGGACATCTGTGCATGTGTCTTCCTGAGGGAGCCTGTCGGTTGGTCTAGCAAGATGGCTCACTGAAGGATGGCTAGAGAGTTTCTACTAGAATAAGGTTTTAAATTGAGCACTTACTATGTGCCAGGACTGTACTAAGCTGTATGTGTATTATCTCTTTAAGTCTCGAAACAATTCTGAATGTTATTCCCCCGCCATCTGAAGTTGAGAAAACTGAGACTCAGAGAGGCATCCTGCCTGGCTCAAAGTCACACAGCTAGTGAGTGTGGGGCCAAGAATTCTAACACCCAAGACCAGTGAAATTCTGACACCCAGGCTCATAACCATCGTGTAACACTGAAGGGTTGTTTTTCCGTGAAAGCCAGTGACTTGTCCTGGGCTGGTCCTGGGGAGTGCATGTTGGGGAGAAGGGTTGGCGGCCCTGACAAGAGACCCTGCTTTAACCCTCCCATCCCAGATTGCTGGCCTGATCACAGAGCTTGCCGATGAGCGCTTCAAAGGGGATGTGGCCTGCCAGGTGCTGGAGGGCGAGCGTGCTGAGCGGTTGCAGGCCTTCCGGGAGGTCCAGGAGCTGAAGGTGAGCCGTGAGAAGTGGCAGGGGTTGTGGCGAAACAGCGTGGCTGGGAGAGCGTGGACCTGGCCCCCTCTGCTCACAGCTGGGAGCAGTAAGCCTCCACGAGATGCACCGGCTCACTGACTCCCAGGCTCAAGGTCCTGCAGGACATCTGGGCCTTCCTAAGGCTTGGCCTTGGAATGGTCCTGGGTGAAGACTGGGCAGAGGGTGGCCAGTCCCCAGCTGTGAAGATGCCATGGATGCGGTGGCCATCGCAGGCTTCTGTCTAGCTGCAGGCCTTTCTTCCAGAGCAAGTATGAGCAAGTCCAGAAGAATTTGAAAGAAGTGGAGAAGCAGCTGGAAGAAGCCCAGCAGAAAATTCAGCTGAGTGACTTGGAAAGGAGTCACACTGGGAGGGGTGAGTGGACTGAGACCTGTGGGATTAGGCCCTGGTGGGAAAAACACTCATTCATTCATTCACTGAAACACACTGAGTGCTCCCTGAGCACTAGACAGAGCAGGCAGGCGCCCTCCCTGCCCTCCTGGAGCTTACAGTCTAGAGGGACAGGCAGACATCAAGCAGATGGTCCAACAGTCTCCCAAATAATAAGTTACCCAGGTCAGAGGTACTGTTCAGTAATAATGCAAAAAACAATGGAAAAAAGCACTGGTTCTAAGAACAAGGCACCTGTATATGGATATTTGCAATATCTGTTTCGAGGAAGGCAGTTCAGAGGTTTAATGTGGTTAAAAGTCTATAAACTTGAGTTTCTGACTTGAATCTAGGCTCATCTTTTATTAGCTGGATGGCTTTGGGCAAAAGCAGTATCATGCCTTAGTTTTCTCATCTTTCAAAGGGATGTAGTCATAGGTGAGCATGACTATTTTAATTATCTATCAATATGACTAATACATGCGGGGACTAGTGGGATCATTGTTCACACCCATAAGGGGAGCAGAAACTACTGCTAAACCTATTGAGAAGCAACATTAGATGCTCAGTGATGACTGAATGAATGGAGAGGGGATAAGAGGGCCCCGAACTGCCAGAGATCCGGAAACTCTGCGGACCCAGGGTTCCTGGTGGTGTCCACCTTACGGTTGCCTGGAGACCCACATCTCATGGTTGGACAGGCCTGGTGACATCTCTGTCAACTCCTCTCCCCCGTCTAAATGAGGTACATGAGAAGGATGCCCAGGGAGTCTGTCAGCTTTTAGAAAATGCTGGCATCATTCATTCGGTGCCCCCAGAGGATACATGCTCTTGAAACGTCAGGGGCCCTCAGAGGAATGGAGGTCATGCGGCTGTGGAGAAGAGGCAAGGATTTGCCCTCTATGCCCCTCTCGGCCTTTCATCCTGGCTACTCCATGGCAAGCATTTACCGGGCACCTTAATGCCAAGGAGTCTGGGATTCTCTGATACACGAGACCCAGCACAGTAGGGTATGTGCAAGGAGCAGCAGATGTGTTTGCACAGACCAGCCATGTGGGATACTGCAGGTTCCCCAGAAGAACACCAGTCCCCACTGCATGCTGACTGTGACTTATGTCACAGTGATGGCCCTGGGTTTGTCTCCCATGGGAAGATACAGGGGCTGAATGAGAGGACCAGCCGTGCCTAGCACAGGAGCCCATGAGTCACAATGCTGTAGAGGCCCTCAGCTCTGGATGCCTGCTCCAGGAAGCCCATCCACAAATACTTTGTTTTTCATTATGAAAATGGTACATAATCATCATAGAAAATTTCTAAAATGTAGGAAAGTTAAAAGGAGCAATAAAACACTTGAATCACACCACTGCAAAGCCACCACCTCCTCTTCTATCATGTTTATATTCCTATCATGTTAGGAGTATAAATTATAAATTATTAAATGGATGTTTTTCTACTGTGTATGGTTAAATATATAAAGAGAACCTTTTATGGTATGCATCTAGCACTAAACTGGACACTAGGGGTTTACAAGAAGAATTTTAGTTGGGTCCTACTCTCAAGAAGCTTGCAGTATAAATGGGGAGGTCAGATCAACCCAGGAAAGATGTGACTGGACAGTGAAAGTCTGAATTACACATACTAACTAAGAATAAGCACCCTTGGAGAGGAGGGGGCGGAAGTGGAAATCAGTTCGGGGAATGGAGAACGGTTTCCTCATCAGCTCATGGTGGCCATTCATGCCACTTTCTCTGTAGCGCATCAGAGCACAGAGCACACGGGCACCCACAGAAATGCTTCCTGCTTTCTCTTTCTTTTGCAGGCTATGCTGTTTGTTACTTGAGATTTCTTTTCCTGGTGAGGAGACAGGATTCTTTTCCCATGATGATACTATTTTCCTTGGCAGAAACTTGAACAAGCTCTAAGTCCTTACAGTTATATCATCCTTCTGATCGGGTTGGTTATGTGGGAATCCCTGTCGGGGTCACCTCTCCCAAGACCTCGGTCCTACCATCCATCCATCCCCAATCACCCACCCATCCATCTACTCTGCCATCCATTTATCTATCCACCTATCCATATATCTATCCATTACCCATCCATCCATCCATCCATCCACCGTAACATCCATCCAGTGAACATTATGGAGTGTTTGTGATACACTATTGTGCTAAGTCCTGTGGACACAATCGTGAACAAAAAAGGGTTTGCTGCCCTTATGCGTTCCAGTCCTCCTCTTAATTTCCGTAAGCTTCCCTTAGGGAAGCTCTGATCGTGCTAGGTTATAGTTATCTTTTTACATTGTTGGGCCTTCCACCAGACTCTCCTTGAAGGTAGAATGGTTTTTTTTGGTCATTTCCTTGTCCATTGTGCCTGGTATGGAATAGTGTCCTCAGTGAGTGTTTGGGTGGATGGAAGTAGAGAAACAGTGTATGATGGATGGAACAATGGATGGATGGATGGATGGAGAGAGAGATCAGGTGGATGGTCTCTGTCTTAAGCTGTCCACCTGTGCAGTGTTTCCCATAGTTCCATTAACTTAAGGAAATTATTATCCAGACAGTCAAATGATAAGACATCATAACCCATTCTAGCCCATTCTATTTAGCCAAACAATTTCATCATGTCAGCAAATAATTTTTTTAGATATTTATAAAGTCAAGATATTGTTCAATTTTCTCATATAGATATCTTGTGACCAATGTCTCTGTTGTTAGGCATTCAGCAGACCCTTTAATTATTGCTCATTTACTTGTTAATTTAATCAATGGTTACTGATTGCATACTCTGTAACCCAATATGGGGGCCAGTAAGATTATTCCAACTGGTGAACTTGTATCATGTGTATGGGGAAACTTCTATGTGTAGGGAACTCTTCTAGAAAGTGTTAAGGATCCACAAATGACTATAACAGCTCCCCTGCCCTCAAGGACCATAGAATGTCCTTGGAAAAAGAAAGGTATGTATTCAAAGAAATTGAACAGTATAAGTAACCAGGCTTAAAATAGTGAGTAGTCAATAACTTAAAACAATTAGAGGGAGTCAGGACAGACTGCCTGGAGGGAGTGTTTTTTTTTTAATAAAGCTTGGACTTAGAGCAGAATTTCCTAGCCTGAAGTCCAAGGCTGAGCCTCAAGAACTCTATTAATATTGTAATATTATGTGCAAGGAGCTAAGAAAGTGGCAGGGAGCCACCCTCACTTACCTGGTCTTTCTGACTTTGTCAAACAGCAGATGAGTGGCAAATGCGCTTCGAAGAATTTCCTAGCCTGAAGTCCAAGGCTGAGCCTCAAGAACTCTATTAATATTGTAATATTATGTGCAAGGAGCTAAGAAAGTGGCAGGGAGCCACCCTCACTTACCTGGTCTTTCTGACTTTGTCAAACAGCAGATGAGTGGCAAATGCGCTTCGATTGTGCTCAGATGGAGAATGAGTTCCTCCGAAAGCGTTTACAGCAATTTGAGGAGAGGCTGGAATCAGAGCTGACGTCCAGGAAAGAGTTGGAGCAGAAGGTAAGAGGTAATAGGTAGTCTGAGTCACAAAAGTGTAAGGGAAAAGTGTAAGCAGGTTCTTAACCTCCACTATTCAAGGTATGGGCTGGACCTCGGGAGCGAGAAGGGGCACCACCCATTCTATATTTTTCCACCTCCACTGTATTACAAAGGCTGGTCACTGTAATATGTTTTCTCTACATGTGCATATTATACACTGAAAAAGAATACTCTGGTATGAAGAACATGAACTTGTCAACTTGGGGTATCTGAGTTCCAGTTCCATTTCTGTTTGACCTTGTGCAAATCGCTTTACATTTTGGGCCTCAGATTTCTCATCTATAAAATGACTGTAATATGCTCTTAAAATAAATTTTATCCATTCCCGTTGCCTCTAACCTGCCACCTCCATCTCTCATCTAAACCAAAGCCACAGCCCCCACCTGGTCTCCTTTCCTCCAGCCCCTCCTCTTAAGCATCTGTCACACTGTGGCCAACATCTTTCAGAGCCTCTTTCAAATTGTTCTGCATTGCAAATCATACCGATCCTTGTGTGTTTTGCACGTTTTGATAGTGAGCTCATCTTCAACAGGTCTTTCTATTCCCACTACCGTAGCCCCAGGTGGTCTGCTTGATGGAATGTTCCTTTTTTCCCCCCCTCTGACTCAGGGCAAATTTTTTTCTGTGTATTTAAGTATTTAAAAAAATTTTTGAGCTGATCTTATTTTAAAAAGTTTTTAAACTCTTAATTGATTTTAATGGAAGTCCCATGTTTATGGGGTGGTGGATGTGTTCCTCTAAGGGCAGCACTTTCGTACTTTCTCCTGAGCAATTCCTGGGATGATGCTAAATTCTCCATGTCAGAATTGTCCGATATGTGCAATTGAGCTCTAAATCCTCATGAGGCTTAGACCTGGGGTTTTGATTTCTTGTGGGAATACTTACTCCCCAGCCCAGAGCCAGAGCGGCAGCAGGATTTCTTACCACCTTCCAGGCCAGTGGGTGGAACTCTTCCTGCCCCTTCTCACCAAGGTGCAGCTCTTTGAGGGCTCTGGTTTAATAAAAGGGTCTTCATTCCAACTTCCTGTCTTCCATGGGCTCAGGGCCTTGTCTCCTGTCTCCGGGCATTCAAACATAGCCCCTATCCTTAGGGATATTTCTGTATCTTTCAACTGCTTCTCCTCTCCCCCATCTTGGCTGCCATGGTGTCAGCATCTACCATTATTGCTCTTGTTTTGTGTCCTCTGCATTCCTGACGGTCTGAAATTTCCCTTTCTTTTTTGAAATTGCAGCTAGACATTGCAAATATAATGTAACCTTACCTTGTGTTTCTATAAGAATGTAGTGATAGTTTAGCTCCTTGCTGATTTTGCATTGTCTACATTCCAACACGACTACACTTTACAACTAGTGGTGCACTGATAAACGGACTCTCTGAAAACAAACAAACACCCTGATATGTTGCATTTGCCAACTGCCAGTTGCTGTGGTGTAAATACTCCCACCAGGGCCAATTTCAAGCTACCATTGTGGTGTCACTGAATGTGGAATTGGGAAGAGAATTACAGTCAACTCTCATCAGCAGGTCCAAGTCAGCTCTAGCACACCACTGAGTCCAACCACACTCAGGTGTTTAAGGCTCCCAGCATAGTTGAGGGAAGGTATAGAGATTTTCCATGCACCCTCACCCCCGCATATATACAGTCTCCACCATTATTAACATCCTCCACTAGAGTGGAGGATACAATCGATACAACTGATGAACATACTTTGACACATCATTATCACCCAAAGATCAGAGTCGACATTAGGGTTCACGCTTGGTAGTGTACATTCCGTGGGTTTGGACAAGTGTATACTGACACGTACCCACCATTGTAGTTTCATGCAGTGTGGTTTCATTGTCCTAATGTCCTCTGTGCTCTGCCTGTTATCTCTCTCCCCCAGCCCCTGGCAACCACTGATATGTGCACTGTCTCCATAATTTTGCCTTTTCCAGAATGTCACAGAGTTGGAATCATACCATATATAGTCTTTTCAGATTGGTTTCTTTCATTTAGTGATGTGCATTTAAGGTTCCTCCACATCTTTTAATGGCTTGATAGCTTATTTCTTTTTAGCACTGAATAATAGTCAATCATCTGAATGTACCACAGTTTGTCTATTCATCTACTCAAGAACATCTTGGTTGCTTCCAATTTGGCAATTATGAATAAAACTGCAACAAACATCTGTGTGTGGGTTTTTATGTGGACATAAGTTTTCAGCCCCTTTGGGTAAATGCCAAGGAACATGATAACTATATCATGTGGTAAGAGTATGTGTAGTTTTGTAAGAAACCACCAAACCATCTCACAAAGTAGCCATGCCATTTTGCATTCTCACCAGCAAAGAGTAAGTGTTTCTGTTGCTCAACATCCTTGTCAACATTTGGTATAATCAGTGCTCCAGATTTTAGCCATTCTAATAGACATGTAGTAGTATCTCATTGTTTTAATTTGCAATTCCCTGATGACATAAAATATGGAGCATCTTTTGATATATTCATTCACCATCTATCTTCTTTGGTGAAACGTCTGGTAAAGTCTTTGACCAATTTTTTAATTGAGAGGTTTTCTTATTGTTGAGTTTTAAGATATTTTGTATTTAGATACAGTCTTTTAGCAGATACGTCTTTTACAGATATTTTCTCCTAGCTATGGCTTGTCTTTTCACTCTCTTAATGAGTGTCACTTAAAGAGCATACTTTTTAATTTTAATAAAGTCCAGCATATAAGTTCTCTCTCATGAGTCATGGCTTTGGTGTCATATTTAAAAAAGTCATTGCCAAGCCCAGAGTCATCCAGGCTTTTCCTCTGTTTTCTTTCAGGATCTGTTTGTAGTTTTGTATTATACATTTAGGTCTGTGATTCGTTTTGAGTTAATTTTTGTGAACAGTGTAAGGTCTGTGTCTAGATTCATTTTTTTGCATGTGGGTGTCCAATTGTGCCAGCACCATTTGTTAAAAAGATTTTGTTTGTGCCATTGTATTGACTTTGCCGTTTATTAAAGATCAGTTGACTATTTTGGTGAGTCTACTACTGCGCTCTCTATTCTGTTCCATTGCACTATATTTTTCTCTCCTCCAGAAAATGCCTTATTGTTTCTCACCTCTGGGCCTTTGCATATGCTGTTTCCTCTTCCTAGCACACTCTTTCTCTCCCCTATCTATATATCTCCAACTCTCCTTAATATTTCAGCTTAATTAAGTGTTCTCTTACCAGAAAATCTTCCCTGACAGATTGGATTGAGTGCCCCTGAATCATTCCCCAAATATAAGCTTTGTCATGCTATATTGTTATTATTTGCTTCCTTGGTCTCTCCATAGAGGTAAGCACCATGAGAGCTAAGGTCATATTTGCCAGCCCTACTATAATTATAGCTCCTCATCGTCAAGAGACAAGTATCTTGGGCTATCTTGCAAAGGTGAACCAGGGCAAGATCCTTACATGGGATCTTATAAACAAGAGAAGTTGGGGCTCATTATCCACCATGGTGGTGGTGATTTTAGTGTTTGATTCCAAGACTGACGTTCTATTGTGTTCCTCAAGAGACATACTAAGCTATAGATGAACACAGGACAACTACAGGGAAACAGCCCAGTTCTTTAATAACAAATTATAAAGTCAGGTCAGTTTTCCCAAGGAAGGGTGGATATTCATGCTACATTAAAATGTAATAAAACTGCAACCTTTTCTGAGCAGCAGAATATAAGAAAACATTCCATTTGCCTTCGAATACTGAATTTAGAATTACAGGCTTCATTAGCTTAGAGTTTTGCTTATTTAAAACAATTCTTTAATGAGGCCATTCCTTCAAAGCCAGTGTGCTGAGTTGCCCTCTCTCCCAGATCGAAACTAGGACATTTGGGAGGGTGTTTCGTCGAGGAAGATGTAAGGGGCGTCCTCTCTGTTTGTATGCAGCCATGTGCATTCCTGTGCAATTTGGGCCTGGGTTTCCTGGGCTGATTTCTATGTGTGCCCTTCTAGCTGTTTCATGGCTAATGCTCACACGGCTCTGCAGATTATGCCAGCTGATGGGGGCATTAATTATACAGTATTCTAGGGGCTGTCAAGTTTAAACAGGGCATGTGAAGAATCTGGGGGTGTGTTGGCAGGAGGATTATTGAGGAAAATTAAATACCAACCTATGAAGTTGATGTAATTACCCCTTTTTTACCCCTGAGCAAACTGAGGGTTCCTTAAAGTGACACAGGTAGAAAGTGGTCAAGACCCAATCTTTCTGGCGCCAGTGCCCATCATGCTCACCTTGGAAGTGGCAGCTGCTTGAAATAAAGTAGGAAGTCCACTCAGTGCTACCAGAGTGGGCTGATTGATCCTGTTACTCCCACAGCTTGGGGAGCTCCAGGGTGCTTACGAGGGGGCCAAGAAGATGGCTCACCAGCTTAAGAGGAAGTGCCACCATCTGACCTGTGACCTGGAGGACACCCACCTCCAGCTAGAGAATGAGCAAAGCCGAAACCACGAGCTGGAGAAGAAACAGAAGAAGTGAGTCACATTCTGCATCGTCCCCTGGGTACCAGGGTGCGCGCATTGGTGCTGGGGTCCACTGGGGTCTCTGGTTTCTCCTCCCAAGCTCCCTCACTCTGTCAGGGTTCCTCATCCCTAGGGCTGAACCCTCTTTTTCTGCCAACTCCCTTGTTTCCTTCCCCAACCCACACTTTATTCTTGCGAGGTTCTCCTAAGAATATGGCAAGAAATCATTCTTTTCTGTTACCCAGTTTGAGCCCTATTACCCATGGAGCATGTGTCCTTGGGAACTTTTTTGGCCTCTCGGGAACTCAGTGTCTCCATTTATCAATGAAGAGTTTGTCCATGGAAGACAAAGAGCCTAGCATGATGGTTAGGAGCAAAGTGCTGACATCATACCACCCTGGTTCAAGTCCCAGCTGTGCCTCTTTCTAGTTGTGCGACCTTGGACTTGTCCTTCAACCCTTCTCAGCCTCAGATTGTTTTCCTTAAGAGGGGGTGAGATTGTTCTTACCCTTGTGGTAAGAACTAAATAATATGGCCGGTGTATCCAACAGGCCAGATCCTGCCTGGTTCCCAGTCCCATTGTGGAAAATGGGGAAAGAGAAGGAAGGCAGAATACTGAGCCCCTGCCTTTTTCATTTAGGGTCTGGATGCTCAGGTCAGTTCTGGCTGGGACTGGACCTTGGGTATGAACAAGATCCCAGGTGTGAAGCTGCATGCTGGTTCACATGCTTGCTTTCCCACCGGGATGCTGTCACAGCTCGCCAGTGGCGGAGCCTAGAGCAGCAGAGCCCAGGTCCACACTCACCCGGTTTCCTTTTGCAAAACCTCAGCGCCTGAGGTGCTTTCATCTCTGGACACCCTGGCTGTGTCTGCAGCTCTTCAGCTTGTTTGAGAAGAGTAAAGATGTGGAGGGCTCCTGTTTTGAGCCAGACTAGCCCTCATGGAGACTTGCTAGGAGGCACCTGGATGCATCACAGCCTCTTTTAGAAGGTCCAGGATACAAACACAGGAAAACATTCCTGCGTGTGCCAGAACATGGTCTTGCTGAGAGCCTTTTCCAAGAGGTAGCAAACTGAATTACATTTCCATGGGAGTGGCATAGGTTTTGATCTTGATCTGCGTTAGATATTGTCTCTGTGTTTATCTTTGAGCTTTTCTGAGCGGACGTTTTCATCTGAAAAATGAGTCAGAAAGCATGGCTCTCAAAATGAGAGGTCTGTGTGACTGATTTCCAACTGTTTCCTTTTTCACATGCCCATGGGGGTTCTTGCTGAACATTGTCCTTGCAGTGGGGAAAATGACTTTGTCCGACCTTGTGTGACCTTGTGAAATGACACCACCTCTCTGGGCCAGAGAGTGACTGATGTTGCAGAAGAGTCCTTGTTCTTAAACAGGCCACCTGGTGTTGAAGAACAGCTCTGACAGACCCAGCCCTGACCCTGACCGACCCCAATCTGCAAATTGAGAGGCATGGACTCCATCACCCCCCAGATCTCTGGAGCTATGACAATGTTAGCCCTCACCTATGGTTCCACCCCTGTGCTGAAGGTGGATGGTTTCAGCTCTTTAAGAGTTAGGGGGACTGTCTTTGGATTTATGCAGCCAGAAAATTCATCTCTCTGGTTGTTTCCTAACCCCTTTGGGTTATCCCTTATTCTAGGACTTAAGAGCGCCCCTATAATGCCCCCCCTGTGAAAATCCCCATTTCTTCATACTTAATTTCTTCCTCTTACCTGTCCTATAATGCTTTCCACTTAGCTACCGTCTCTTCAGAGAAGTTAATTTATGTTTTGATGCTAATTGCAAATAGCAACCACTGTCTTTCTAGATGAGCCTAGCATTTTGGCAGGAGCCTATGAGGGCAGTAGAAGTCTCAACCTAAGGGTGGAAATTCAGGCAGAATGACCAGTGAGGGAGAGATCTAGAAATTAGCAATACTTCCGCATACCTCTGTAAGTTTAATCCAGTTACAGGTGCAGCCACCCCCTGAGTTTGCTGGGCCCAGGACGGAGGGACGTCTCCTCACCGGTAGAGTCCACTGTTCTGACCTTGGCTTCTAAGTCTAGAGTGGCCCATTCTGGTTCCATTTGGACTTGGCTTCTTGTTGCCATGGTTACCCATGGGTCACAACACTCAGTTCTGAGGGCTGATGGAACTCCCAGCCCGCTTCTACTGGGTAAGGCCTGGGCTGGGTTCGTTGACTCCCACACTCAAGGGATGCTGGGCATTGGGCCCACTCCTAGTGGGGTGAATGGGGTGTGCCAATCTGTCTGGCCTCAGGCAGTGGGTCGGCTGGTGTGTTCCAGAAGTTAGGGTCTGTAGGAGCCATTCTTTGGCATCAGGTGGCTTGTTAAGTCACGGACAACTTTGGAATATCAGCCACTGTCTGGCTCCCACTGTCTTATCGTACCTGTCCCAGAGTATAGGCTGGTAGATGAGAGACGAGCTGGAATGGTAGACAGGCTGGGCTCCAACCTGCTTCCACCACTTTGGAATTTTAGGCTGAATCACTCCACTGCTCTGAATGTCAGGTTTTTCTTCTGTGAAATGTGTATAACAACATGTTTCTTGCTCTTGTTATAAAGACCAAATGGACCCCAGCCCAGAGCCTGGCTGTTTGTGACCACTGAATCCTTATACCATCACAGTGTTTCCATTCACAGGCAACCAATAGTGCCTCTTGAATGATGCCACCAACAGCCAATCACAAAGCTCCCAGGCTGTTTCGGCAGAAGCGATCCCTCATGGGACTCATGATTGGCTTCCTCAGGAGTCTGAGACTTTGAATGACCATCTAGTGTCAAGGGACATTGGATAATCTTGTAACAAGGGTAACGTTCTTCTTACCAAGGCCCAAGGCCCAAGCCCCATGCCCAATTTGGCCATTCTGGCCACACCATGTTCCCGGGAGCAGTGGGACTTCCTGTATGGGCCAAGGACAAGTGGCCAGGGTCCCATCTTACTGAGGCCTGGCAGAGCCTTCTATTGGTTTCCTCATCTCTGATAGAGGTAGAGGCTGAGACGGCTGCATGGAATGATGTCACACCCAGGGAGTGCCTCTCACCTAGTGGCCACCATCATGGAGGGGCCGGGATTGCCCCAGGCGAGGCCTTTCCTAATTTCCAGGAAATGGACCCCCAGTAGGACTGTCTAGTCTCTGTGTATTCTGCTTGAGAGACAAAGGAAGACAAGATTGAATGTACTAACATCCAGCATTTTATCAATAATTACCCCACTCTAATATGGCATACAAGTGCATAGCCAGATAATAATCATGTAAAATATGAAATGTAGAATATCCCTTGTTTGTGCAGATCATACATTCATCCATTCACCAACCAATTACTGTTAGACACCAAACCAGGCCTTGTAGAGTTAAAGGTTCTTGGCATACACTGATAAACCAGATTGATTGGATTTTTCTATATATCTATGTTTTTTATTTTTATTCTTTATCTGTATATAATTGTATTCTATTTTCATTTTCATCTATGTATTTTTTATCATATTTTACTTAAGTCTCTAGTATTTCTGTAGAAACCTATAAAAGCCTATATAAACCCTGCAAGTTGCTCTCTGGCGTTGCAGATTCCTATCCCGCACCCACAGCCTTGCACCAAAGCCCTGAGCAGACCCTCCATGTCATTCTCACCCTTGAGTGGTTCTCTCCAGCCCCTTTCCTCCCCTGCCCCAGGTCCCCCCACCAGGGTGCCATGACACATGTTCTGCTTGGACAGGTTTGACATGCAGCTGGCCCAGGCCCTGGGTGAGTCTGTGTTTGAGAAGGGCCTCCGCGAGAAAGTGACGCAGGAGAACACCGGCGTGCGGTGGGAACTCGGCCAACTTCAGCAGCAGTTGAAGGTAAGCGATAGGGCACAGGGAACCCATTCTGCTCTGGGTTGCTGACTCAGAAAACCTCACCATGCGTCTGCTGTAAACAGTGCAAGGAGAGAACTCTGGGTAGAAGTCCTGGTCTGCCAGCCAGCTGGAGCCATGGGTTCCAGCATGCCTTAATAAAACAAAGAGTTCACGGCAGATTGATAATCAGGCCTCCCTAGCTTGATGTCCTTCCTGTTCTTGCTCTGCCCACCAGCATGAGTTCCAAGGTGCCCACCTGGGAGGCGTGGAGGGCTTGGCACAGAATGAGTCAGCTGCAGCCTTGTCCCGTGCAGGGGGATTGAATTAGAATATGGCACAGGCATCTTACTTGGCTGAGCCTCACCCTTCTGTGGCTCCCTGTTGTCCTTGGGAGAACCTCTTAGCCTTTGGTGTCCCACCAGGGGTACTGTGCAGGGCTGCAAGGGTGAGATGTAGCTGGCAGCTCATAGAGGTAACCCTGGGGGGAGGGGAGGCATAGTCACGTGACTCCAGATCTCTGTCCCCTTTGTTTCTGTAGCAAAAGGAGCAGGAGACATTGCAGCTGACTCAAGAGGTGAAGACGCTGCAGGCCCAAAAACGGGAGCTGCTGGGGCCGCTCTCTTCGGGGGGAAATTGTGTCGCTGGTTTGAAGGAGAGGCTCTGGGAGCTGGAATCCAGTGCCCTCGAGCAACAGAAAATCCACAGCCAGCAGGAAAACACCATCAAGCAACTGGAGCAGGTAGGCAAGCCCTGCGCATTGCTGGCTCCAGTGCAGAGCGGAGTTATTTAAATATAACATTGGCAACTCACTCAGCTTCTCCTCTTCTTTCTGTGGCTCCCTGTTGCCCCAGAGAGCCTCTAAAGCCCTACGTCTGACATTCAGATCCTTCGTGATCCAGCCCATGCTCGCCTTCCTGCAAGTGTCAGTGTCATCTCAGAGAACTTGCCCTCATCACCCTCTTGGATAAAGCCCCACCCGTACACCATTCACTTTCTGTCTCCTTAGCTGGTCTCTTCTCCTTCATATTCAATAGTATTTTAAAAAATTTGCTCAATGCTTCTCTCCTCCATTAGGATGTATGTTTCAGGAAGACAGGGTTTTGTGTTGATCTTACTTGTCAGGGTATCCCTAGAGTCTAAAGTGAGACCAGGTACATAGTTGGTGCTCAATGAATAACCATTGACCAAGATCTGACACTTATTGAGCGCTGACTGCGTACCAGACTCAGCCCTAAGCTCTCCCCACTTAATCATCTCAGGAATCGGCACAAGAACTTAACATAGGGAGCTATTAGTATCATCCCCACTTTACAGATGTGGAAGTGAGGTTCAGAGATGCAGAGAAAGCAGCAGGGGTAGAACTTGAAGGCTGGCCATCTGACTCCATGGTGCCTGGCATACCTACTGTGTGCATTTGCTGTACACAAACTCGAGGAAGATTGGAGAGTTACTGTTTGGGAACTGCAAAATAACTAAGGGGGATAGACAGGAATATCAAATACTCTAGTACCAGCATCTTCCACAAAGTACCAGGTGAAGATTTTATATGTCTGCTTGTTTATTTATATGCCCACTTCATCTGACAGAATTAGAAGCAGCTTACAGGTTGTATGTGCAATAAAATAGAAAAATTATAAAGAAAACAATCTAAACCAGAAAAACGCAAACTAGAATAGATGCTAAGGAGGGGCAGGGATGGTGGATTAATATGCAGATACGCAAAACATAGGATCTTCCATACTTAGTAGTTTTACATCTAAAACTCCTGGTGGCCAGAGAGAAAAAGGAAATGTGAACTTGGTACTTTTTTTTTATCCCATGATAAAGACAAACCAGTTTTTCAAGGGGAAGCAAGGCTTTTCCTGATGCTTAGCTTGTAAGAAATTTCTCACATGGGATTTCATAAGTGGCAATTATTTTGAAGTGGTCCTAAGGGCAGAGCCCCTTTTTCAAGAAAATCTGAGCAGGCAGTGTGGATTTGTAAGGCAGTTGAACTCTGAGCAGCTCTGATAAAGTGGGGTGAGAGAGTGGGGAGTCAGGAGGTGAGGGGGGTGTGGGACGTGGGGTGGGAAGATCGAGGTGCCCTCCTCGCTTCTCCCCTATTCCCGCTGCATGGACATGGAGCCCACCAAGTATTGAGACCAGGGTGTGGTGGGCATCAAAGGACAGAGTCTGAAATTGTTCAGAAAACAGAGCTGCCTTACTTACTCAGTCAACCAGTATTTATCAAGTACCTATTTGGTGTCATATGCTAAGGATGCAGCTGAAATAAGACAAATGTGGTCTTTGCCCTCCTGATAGTTATAGTCACGCTTAATGTCCTGGGGAAGCTTAATTTGCAGATCTGGCTTAGGAGCATAGCTGGGGAAACAGGGAAGGCTTCTTGGAGGAAGTCACATTTATCAAAGCTGCAAGGTGAAGGATGAATCCAAGTTGGCTCATCAAGAGAGTTCTAGGCAGAAGGAACAGCCTGCACAAAGGCCTAAGACAGGAAAGTCATGTGGCACTTAAGCAGCTGTAATATGGTCACATCCAGATGGGTTCCTCAAGGTAGTGCCTTGTCTGTATGACCTTAGACAAGTCCTCAGTTATCGCTAGACTTTGGTCTCCTCATTTGTACAATGAAATCAGAGCCTCATCAATCCCTTAGGTTGCCCCTAACCCCAGCTATGGATCCGAGAAGGTTCATGAAGGAGGTGGAATGTCCGCGTAGGTCGTTGAAGGTTCACCATCACATAGCAACCCAGAGTCAAGAATAAAGCAAGCTCTTTAACTGTTAACTCTTTAAGCTCCCAGCAGGGGGCTACTCAGTGCTCAGAAGCAGAAATGTCCTCCCGTGACTTCCGGGACCCCAGCGGTAATGCTGATTCCTGAATTTCCACCTTCAGTTCACACAAGAGGCAAGGCTGACTCACCACTTTCAAATATCTTTGGCCTCACCCATAACCTCATCCCACATTATGTCCTTGTAGACATCGAGGCAATATTTATTGATTACAATATAGCACTTTTTCCAGGGAATTTTATGTTAACTCATACAAGCTTGACATAAATGGTATTGCAGATGTCAGGAGTACCCAAGAGGCTAGAAAAAAATGAAAAAGAAATATTGTATTTACTTGCTTAAGCTCCTTGTTTTGGATTATCTCCCCATAACCTCTGTCATTTTAAAGGAGGCAGGGAAGGAAGTTGACATTTAAAGTCAGCCTGCTTTATGCCAGGAACTATAATAGGGGGAACCCTCCTTTTTTCTCTTTACCACAGTCCTACAGAGCAGAAAATACTATCAACACTTTAAAAGACCAAGATCGTTTTTTCTCAACTTAATTTCCTTGGAAGGAAAAGCAATTGCAACCCTCTGAAAGCTTGGTGAGAGGTTCTGGGGTGGTGCAGGAAATGGTCAGAAAGTTACGGTTTGTACAATGTTATCCATCCATGGTATTGGGTTCCAAATGCAGCTCCATGAATCAACAGTGTAAAGAGTGTAGGTAATTGAAAGCTTAAAACTAGATTCTTAGGGCCTGTACCCTGGAGATTCTGATCCAATAGGTTGAGGGAGAATCTCTGGAATTTAATTTTTTTAATGCATGAAGTAATTCTAATATGCCACAGAATTTGAGAAGCCAGAGCTCGGGCCAGTCTTAGGAAGATCAAGAGAGTATAATTTTGAACTAGAACTGGAACCCATGACTTCTGCCTCCAATTCTAGAACCTTTTATGTAACATCACGCAGTTTGACTACCGTGCACAGCACTTTTGTCTGCTCTGAGCACGTTTTGGGGGCTCTCACGTAAAAGACTCACTGACTTCATGGGGACACAGATCTTGACTAAGTCGGGCTGTGAGGACCGGAGGGGAGAGTCCTTTCTCCCTCTTTTCAAAATAATGGTTAAAGAGAAAGTAGTATTCATGTACTAGATGCTTTACATGGATTATTTCATTTAATTCTCATCAAGCATTCCAAGGCGGTTGTTCTCTACAGAGAAAGGTACCTGGAGGCGACGTGAATTGTCCATGGCAACACTGCGGGCAAGTTATCTCTCCCTCCCCAGGCTTTGAAATCTTCATAAATAAACTTCTAGTTTATCATCCATCCACCCACTTATTTACCCATCCAAAAAAACCATCACTGCTCCAGGCATGACAAATTTGTTTCATCTTAAGCGTGTTGAGAAGGATTCTGAGGCTACATTGAAACTCAGTGGAAAAGAGTATGACCCCTGTGACCACAGGAAGGCATAGAGGCAGCATTTGGGCCATGTACCTTCCATTTCTGACCTTCCTGGGTGCCTGGGGGAGAACTCCACTTTCATCCACGCACTCCAAAAATAAAAAATGCAACTGGAATGCCAAGGATGACTTGGTTGGTGTGGGTCACCCTCCTGTGTTCTCCTTGCTTCCCGCAGCTCCGCCAGCGGTTTGAGCTGGAGATCGAGCGGATGAAGCAGATGCATCAGAAGGACCGGGAAGACCGGGAGGAGGAGCTGGAGGACGTCCGCCAGTCCTGCCAGAAGCGGGTATGTGAGCAGCGAGCACGCTGTGCCCTTGGGCCCTGGCAGGTCCGGTCTTGGTTACCTCTCTCTTAGGGTGAGGGGCACTCCAGGGCCTGGGGATAGGCGCTTTCTGCTCCACTGGAGGCCTTAGCTCTGTTGGTGCTTTCAAGGTGGCTGGAGTAGAAGTGCCTTCAGGATTTTAAATATAATCCTGGAACTTTCAGAAGTCTCTAGAACTGTCCAGCACAATCATCCCAAGATTTCTGCCAAGAGTCCGTCTTGCCATGTGATTTATGCCTTGGGTAAGGGCTTAACATTTGACGAAGAGGACCAATCTTTCCTGATTCTTTCCTTTGCAAATAATTTCTTACATTTCATCCAAGCTCTTTACAGACGTTTCCAACAGTGTATAAGGAAAGCAGTAAACCTTGAAGTCTTACCACCTGGAGGCGATCATTATTACTCTTTCTAAAAGTTCTTTCATATCTCTCTCATTGTATACACACACATGCATATTTGTAGAGAGACCATTTTACCTAACTGGGGTCATGCTGTTTTGAAGCCTGCCATTTTCACAAGGCAGTGAACTTAGATCAGCCTGACTCCAAAGCTCAGTCTCTTAATCAAAATACTAGATTTTTAAAAAACTTTTTATTTTGCAAATGTTTGGACTATCGAAGGTCATTTGGGAGGCACCTGACAGAAGTCAGCCTTGGACAGGGCTACCTCCTTTAGCCCTTCCTGCACGTGAACTTACCACCAAAGGCTCTGATAAGTCCTGCCCTGAGGAACCTGTTAACTCAATGGTTCCCACACTTATTCTAGCTTGGACACACACACATCACATCTATGAACGCCCTATGGAAATATTCTAGGAAATACACGCCAGAAAACATTGTCTTGCTCAATATATAGTTTTGATTATTTTGCATATTTTTTAAAAAGAGTTTTAGCTTCTTAGCCATTATTCTAAAAGCAGATGTGAGCAGAGTGCCTTGTGTCTCTGCCTCTTAAAGTTTTGAAATGAAGCTGCTTTCAACGTAAGTGACCACCAATCAGCATTTGCTTTCTTTCCGAGGGTCAGGAGATGGCAGCTCCCAGCCCCTGCCCGTGTGCCCTTAGGTGAGGGCAACTGCACCATTTCTGGTGCATTCCAAGAGCGCCTCACAGCACCGTGAGTGTGCCCTGAGCCAGGGCCCTTGACTAGTTGGAGATGTGACCCAGACCCTCCTGGGGCTTTTCTGTGGACAGATTTATAAAGGGAGACGGCGAGGTCAGAGAAAGGTGTTTTTCTCCTCGAGACAGACACTAACATCGACTCCACATCTAGTGATTGCTCTGGTCAGTCTCCCTGTCACGGTGGCAGGAAATCAATTGTTAGCCACCTGGGAGGGGATGCTGATGGCTGCCTGGTGTGGCAGGAGGGGTGGGGCCGGGAGACAGAACGCAACCGCTCTCGGCAGCAACCGGCTAGGAGTACACGGTTCAGAATCTCTCCCCGATTCAGTTTGTTCACCCGTGAATTGGGGTCACTGATAGCGTGAGTTGGAGAGGGAGGATCGAAGGGATGAGATAACATAGGAGAGAGGCTGGTAGGGAGGAGGGTGTGCAAAGCACACTTCTCGTGGGTGTTCACTTTAGCAGGCAGTGCCTGACTGCTGGCTGATCGCTGAGAAAGCAGAGCTGACTGGAAACTAAATGAGTTGCTCTTAGGCAAATGCCTTCGTCTGGGCGGATGTAACAGAATATCGCAGGCTGGGGCTTAAACAAACATTTTTTTTCTCACAGTTCCCAGGGGTGCTGAGAAGTCCAAGATCCAGGCGCCCACAGATCAGTGCCTAGTGAGAGCCCTCCCGGGCTCATAGAACCAAGCCGCTTCTCGCTTCCTCACGCAGGGGAGAGAGAGGGAGGCCGCGAGTTCTCTGTGCCTCTTCTTATAGGGGCAGTAATCCCAGCCTGGTGCTCCACCCTCATGACGTCATCTACACCTGATTATTTCCCAGAGGCCCCCTCCCCCCACCCCGTCTCCAAATAATATTGCACTGGGGGTTAAGATTTCAACATAGGAAATTTGGAGAGATAACTACACAGTCCATACCACCAAGTAACCTCAAATGCAATTTTTTTTTTACCTGCATCATAGTATGTTTAATAAGGGAGGTAGAAGCATTCTATTATGTTGGATATAAGACTGTGCAAAGCCTGGAAAAGTCAGAGTGCCAAGATTTGTAAATATTCAAACTAGGTCATGGCATAGGAAGGCATCATGCAGTAGAGAATGGGGAGCAGACGAGGTGAAGGCTACACAGTGAATGGCAGGGGCTCCCCATAATTTGCCAGCTCATAGTTGTCCAACTTCCAAGCTTTTAGGCTCCAGAGTCCTGGACACAGACAGCCCCCCACCCCCGCCCCTAATCACTAGGGCAGACTTGGCGGAACTGAGCAAGGGGCTGTGAGCTCCACATCCCTCCTTCCCCCCGGGATCCCTGCCTTGTGGGACTTGTCCTGATTGAGCTCATTTATCCTATGCATTCGTCTGCCCTTTGTGCCCGCAGCTCCGCCAGCTGGAAATGCAGCTGGAACAAGCATGTGAGGAGAAGCAGATGGTCCTCCATGAGAAGCAGGATTTGGAAGGCTTGATCGGAACCCTCTGTGATCAGGTACGGGGAGGCACCGGCAGATATTTGGAAGAACACATATCCTGCCTCTGGGTCCTATTCGAGAGATGGAGGGGTCTGCAGGAAAGGCCTCCACCTGCTTCTCCCAAGTGCCCTCTTCTCCACCAGTTTTGTCCCTTTCCACACACTCATTCTTCAAAGAAGACCTTCTGGGGGTGGGGGATGGTCCACACACAGCAGGGGTTTGGAAGAACCTGTGAGAATAATCAGCATGGGCCCAGCCAGCTGTGACATATGAGGTCACCTTGCTTTGAGCAGCTTTTTGGGTGAGAGTGTAGACAGCCCTTGCTTGAATCCAGTGACTGTGAATGACCACCAGCCTCACAGCTGGCCTCATGAGAACTTTTGCTAGAGGTAGCCAGGCCCAGGTTCCTGCAAATGGAGCCTTCCTGAAACCCTAGCTGGGCCACTTCCATCTACGTGGCTTTGGCTGAGCTCATTCACTGCCCTGAACTTTGGGAGAGCAGAGCTCGTGGGCTTGCAGCATCACCGTACACCAGGCTTCTCGCCCACACCACTGTGGACACCTTGGCCACAGTGTTCTTGGTGGAGGGGACCGTCCTGGGCATTATAGCATGTTGTGAGCTTTCCTGGCCTCCACCCACGAAATGCCATCAGCACAACCCCCTCCTGCCACTTGTGGCCAGAAATGTCCACAGACACTGTGAAATGTCTCTTAAGGACAAAATCCACCTCCCCCTTTACAGAGCCTGCAGAGCACAGAGCCGGCTTCTGGTTTCAGAGCTGGGGGAATCTCCCCTCCATCCCCCGAAGATTCCTTTCCCTGCCTCTGCTACTCCACAAAGCCCTAGCATTGGAGGGAAACGCCTGTGGCTTCTCTAATTTCTTTTAAAGTAGCATCGGAGTGTATTTTAATGTGTTTGCTTAACATGCGTTCACTATCTTTTCATTAGTAAATATCTTGTTATCAATCACCTTCTCCCAAAGTCTTTCCTTTTATTCACAAAGGAATGTGGGCCCCCTTCAAATGGCCATCCAGGGCAGGCAGGCCTTGGACAAATGGGTTCTCACTATAAATATATTTTTTGTAATTGATAAAATCAGTGAATCCTGGGGCAGGACCGTGGCAGCGGTGAGTGTGAGAGTTGGGAGCTGAGGGAATCCACAGGAGAGCTGTACCATCTTCCTTCTCTTGGTTTTCTGGCTTGTCTGCCAAGGAAACCAGGGCCCCTGAGTGCAGAGCCATTGAGGACATTGTCCCTCAGTGTAAGAGAACACAGCCCAGTATTTGAGTCTAGAATGATAATCAGAAATCGTGGGAAGAAGGTTGCATGCAATTCTGTGTGGTCCACTTGGGAAAACAAAATATAGAAAGGTTTTTATAGATGCTGCAAACATTAAAAATTTTCCGTGCAAAGGAAAGGTAACTTTGAATGAATAAAATGCTGATTTTGTGTTAGTCCCCAAGTGGGAGCCTTAAATAAATGATCACATTTGATAATGTTTAATGACTTGATTAAAGGTACTTGCCAAACACATGGAAAGGCAGAACAGATACTATAATGGATGCTTATGTGCCAAGCACCCAGGGGCCACATAAATTAACATTTTGCACATTTAAGATGTTTTTAAGGACACAAAACATTTCCAAAACAGTTGGTGGCCCCTTGGGTTCCAGTGTCCTACTCCTCTTCCCTTCCTTCTCCCTCTTCTCTCTCCCAGAGGGGTCCCCTGTCCTAAGGCTGGAGTGTAACTCCCCTGCCTGCGTATTGGAACTTAAACCACATACAGCACACATGACCTGCATTTTAATTTTGTTCCCCTTCATACTGCTTTTGAGATGAGTCCACGATAATACCTCCAGCTCTGATTCATTCCGTTTTAACCTCTGCACACTATTCTATTTTTTTTTTTTTTAGTGTTAAATCATGAGACACCATTTTTTTTGGTATCATTACTCTACAATTACATGAGGAACATTATGTTTACTAGATTCCCCCCATCACCAAGTTCCCCCCACATACCCCATTGCAGTCACTATCCATCTGCGTAGTAAGATGCTGTAGAGTCACTACTTGTCTTCTCTGTGTTGCACAGCCCTTCTCATACCCCCTCCCACATTATACATGCTAATCGTAATGCCTCTTTATCTCTCCCTTCCCACCCATCCTCCCTAGTTCCTTTCCCTTTGGTAACTGTTAGTCCCTTCTTGGGTTCTGTGAGTTTGCTGCTGTTTTGTTCTTTCAGTTTTTGCTTTGTTCTTTTACTCCACAGATGAGTGAAATCATTTGATACTTGACTTTCTCCACCTGGCTTATTTCACTGAGCATAATACCCTCTAGCTCCATCCATGTTGTTGCAAATGGTAGGATTTGTTTTCTTCTTATGGCTGAATAGTATTCCATTGTGTATATGTACCACATCTTCTTTATCCATTCATCTACTGATGGACACTTAGGTTGCTTCCATGTCTTGGCTATTGTAAATAGTGCTGCAATTATTCTTTCTATTTTTAATTCCATTCTTCTGTTGAAGGATAATGTAGTTGTTTCCATTCTAAGACACAGAACTACAGCGCATATTCCTGCATATGTCCCACCGGGCATGAGGGCAGCATGTCCAGAGGATGCTGCTAGAGGAAGACTGCCTAACTCCTAGGAAAGTATCATTTTGGAATTCCTAGATGTTGCCCAAATTGAAGTGAAGGATGGTGGCAGTGTACACCATCACCAGTGGTTTTGAGGGGTTTTTAAAATTATGTTTTCTGCTTCTCCACACCCCACTGTCAGAGTTTGTCTCTCATTACTAGTGAAGTTGTGCATTTTTCATGTGTATTATGTTTTCCTCTTATGTGAATTGCCTGTTTATAGTGTTCTGTCTCCTTTTTTCCTATTGATCATTCATGAACCTTACACAGAATGCTAACTCACTTTTGGTTATGTATTTTGTATGTATCTTCTACTCCACAGATTATCATTTCCCTTAGAATATAATCTCCTTCATGTAATTAAAAAAAGTGTTTTTAAGTAGTCATGTTAATCAGTCACTTTTTATACTTTGTGTCTTTAATATCTTCAGATATCTTTCCTTAACTGAGGTCATAAAGATTTCCACCATATTTTCAAAAAGATCGAAGGTTTTTGACAGTTTGAGGTCCTTAATCCACCTAGATTTTGTACTGTGAGTTAGGAACCTATTTTTTTTCTGATGGAGATCACCTTTTGTTATATTTCATGAATAATATTTTCTACAACTTCCATGTATATTTAGGTATGTTTATGGGCTACCCATGCTGTTTAATTGGTTTATTTGTCTATTTCTGCACCATATGGTCTGAATGGTTGTATTTGATAAATTGTAGAACAGCTTACATTGCTCAGCTCTAAAATTGTCTGATCTCTTCTTAATCTTTTAATCTTCTTATTAAAATTCCATAGCAAAGCCTGAAGTGATTTTCAAATGCACTGGTTTGCAAGTTAGTCGGAAACAATCGACATATTGTTATGTTGAACCACTGCATTCATAAGCATGGCTTTCAGTAATATTTTATTTTATTTTTTCCATGTAAGTCTTGAACGTTTTCATTAGATGTATTTCTAGGAACCTTGTAGTTTCTACAGTTAAATTATCAATGGAATACTTTTCTGTATTCTATGTTTCAATTAGTTATTGTGGCACACAGGGATACTATTGATTATTATATTGATTTGTATCCAACAGAGTTACTTATTTTTTTCATATTTCATTGGGATATCCCTTTGAATTATCTGCATAGACACTGTTGCCATTTAACAATGAGAATAGCTTTGCCTCTTTTTCTCCAATTTTTAGACCTTTTGTTTTTTGTTTTTTCTTACCTTATTTCATTGGCTTAGATTTAAGATCAGTGGTAGAGAAGATAGTGGGCACTCTTTCCTTGTTTCTGACCTTTATAGGAATGCTTCTAAAGTTTCATCATTTACCTGACATTGCAGTGTCTATTTGATAAGTGAGTCTAATCAGGCTAAGTCAGTCTTCTATTTGAGGTTTTCTAATATTTTTTAAAAATAATATTTGGTTATTGCCTTTTCTGCAATTTTAGTAATCTTATGACTTGCCTCATTTATTTATTAGCGTAATATATTTTGGGTTTTACAACATACCCTGTTAGATTTCCCAGGTAAATCTAACTATGTAAGACTATATACTAGTCATATATTTTTTAATGCACTGCTCTTTTTTGAGTTGCTAACATTTATCCAGGATTTTTTAAACTAGGCTCATGAGTAAGATTGGTTTGTAGTTTTCTGTTCTTATATTACCTTTGTCCGGTGTCGTACTAACCTCATAAAATGAGTTTGCAACTGTGTCTGACAATTTTTATAAAATTTGGATTATGTACTTCTTGAAGGCTGAGTACATCTTGCCTGTAAAGCTATTTGGGCCTGGTTTCTTTTTAAGGGGTAGGGTGAATATTGATTAGAGTCTTGAAATTTTGTAATCATAACTGAACACAAATCCAGATATTATTCATTTCCTGACTGAGTGAATTTTGACAGCAAATATTTTTCTAGACATTTATTATTTCATCCGATTTTTCAGAAAGGCTGGCATAAAAGTTTTTTTGTGGTATTTTCTTATGATCTAAAAATTTTACTGTATCAGAGTTTAAAAATTCTATCACTTCCTTTTTCAGCCACAGAAATGTGTACTTTTGGGATTTTTGTTATTGTTACTGATCAGTCTTGTCAGAGATTTGTCTATTAATCCTTTCAAAGAACCTGCTTTGCTTCCATCTTTTCTTGTTTTATTTATGAATGTCTCCCTTTATCTTTGTTTCTTGTTCCTTCTCCTTTCCTTTGATTTACTCTTGTTCTATTTTTTAGTTTTGGAGTTGAAAATGTTAGCTTTTCAATATTTTCAATATTTCTTATTCTATTTTAAATGTTTTTTAATGTACATTTCAGACTACTGCTCTCCTCAGCATGTGTCATTCTTACATGCCAAGCATTTTGTCATGTTCTTTTGTCATTTCCTCCTTTAATCTGTAATTATTCAGAAATTGAGTTTTATATTTATTAATATTTGGGATTATTTGGAGTATTTATCTTACTGTTGATTTTTAATTTTTTGACATTTTGGACAGATAGCATGGTAGAATTCATCACATTTTTTTCTTTGAAATTATTGAGACTGTTATGTTGTCTCACTTCATGGTCTAGTTTAATAAATTATCAACTGGAAAAGAATCTACCTATTGGAGGCTTATGGTTTCATACATGGCAAATAGGTCAAGCTTGTTAATTTTTTTATCTAAATATTATATTCAAATATAAAACCATAAACCTCAAAGGAAACATTAGAAATATGATCATATTTTAAAAGTCACTTCTCGTTACTTTGATTTTGCCTGTTTAATATGTTTCTAAGAAAGTTCTAATATATTCCCACTATGATTGTGGTTCTGCCATGTTTTGCTTATAATTCTTATAGTTTTCTCTTTCTCTATTTTGGGATTATATTTTTAGGTTCATCTATGTTTATTATTGTTTTATTTCCTCGACAGAATATTCCTTTCATTATTATATGGTGTCTCTATTTTCTCTGTGGACAATTTTTGCCTTATTTTATTTTGCTTGGTTTGTTTTAATTAATTTGTATGCAAGACCTTTTTTAGTCCCTTCATTTCCAAATGTGTATGCATGTATGTTTCTTTTAAATAGCTGGATACTTTTAAATTCAATATTTTAGTCTCTAACTTTTCATAGGAGAATCTAATTCATTTACACTTATTACAATGACTGCTATATTTGACATTATTTCTGTTCTCTTTTTTTGTATTTAGTGTTTGTTAGTTTGTTTTCCCATTTATTTGCTTCTTCCTTTATTCCTTTCCTGCTTTTGGATAGATTGATAATGCTTTTTATAACCTTCTTTTGTTCCACGTTTTCTAAAGTTACAAACCATATTTGTATTCTTTCAGTAAATAAGTATTTTAATTTTCACAACAATGCCATGGGATATGTATAATTAGTTCCTTCGTATATATGATGGAAGTGATACCCAAAAAAGTAAAGCAAATTACCCAAGATCATATAGCTTGGTAGTGGCATGAGTGGATTTGAAATCAGGTCTATAATATCTGTAAAGTGGCTTGATTATCTCTAACAGCATTTCCAGACCACATTAAAAAAAATCCTCAGAGTTATTTGACAGCTGACATTTAACAGCTGCCCCAAACAATCTGCCTTTATGATAAATAGTGAAAAAATTGAGGTTTAAGTAAGGTTTCCCATAGCAACACTAAACATCATTTAGATATATTGCTTAATTATTCACTAGCTTTATCCAGATTTGAATCTTTCAGCTGCAACATGTGAACTTGTGGAATGACATTTGTTTCCCATTAACCTAATGGGGTCTCTTTTTTCTCTCTCTCTCCTGTCTTGTAGCAATCAATTATAAAGGGGAGGGAGACTTGGTCTGAGATTTTGTTGTGAATTTTATTTTCAGTGACCTCTGTGGAAAGGAGAGGTCATTCAGGGACATCCTGGCAGTGAAGATGGTAGAATCTGAGCCATCCTTACTGTGTGGTCAGTGCCCACATGAGGGAATGTTCTTGATGCCAACTTGCCCCACAGGAGAATTAAAGGCATTTTAGGATATCACAAGGACAGATGCAAAAATTAAGAAAAATGCTAAGCACGCTGCATTAATGCCTGGTAAAAAGCCTGGGCTTGAGTTAGTAAGTCAAGTTTCAGGTTCCACCAGGCCCTGTGGTGCAGCTGTTGGGGACATGCACTGGAATGCTTTACTGCCTGGGTTTAAATCCTTGCCTAGCCAAGCATGACCTTGCACAGTCCACTTACTCTCTCCATATCAATGTTACAGCTGTACTTCCATTTCCCAACCACAGTACATACTTCAGAGACTCACATAGCTCACAGACAAGAGCTGGCCGCAGTGACCCTCCAGCCCCACCCCTTGCATACACAAGACTGTTTCTCGGCCTTTGCTCATGGCATCCTTCTCCCTGGAATGCCCTCCCTGTACCTCAGCTAGCTAGCTAGCTCCTCTGTACCTATGACGCTTCCCACTCTCATCCCAGCTTGAGCTGGGTGATGTTCCTCTGTGCCCCCATAACACATTTTTTTAAATTAAAAGATAAAACTTACCTCTCTCACAGTTTATTTTACTTAAATTGCGTCTTTCCAGCCAGAAAAGCTGGGTTTGTGTCCTAATTATGCCCACTTACTAGTTGTGTGATCTTGGGCAAATTACTGCACCTCGGTAAAGCTTTAGTTTCATCATCTGTAAAATGGAATCATAATACTATACAACCTGTAGATTCATCATGAGGACTAAATGTATTAATATCTGTAAAATGTTTAGGACTGTGTCTGCCACTTAGAAAGCCCTCTCTCTAAAGGTAGGCTATTACTACTTTTATAAAGGCAATAACAGTAATGTCTATTTTTAAGAGGTTGTCACAGGAGTTAAATGCAATAATATGTGACAAAGGGCCTGGCACAATGCCCAGTCCTTGGCTCAGCTGGTGAGATTATGTATGTATATATATGTATGTGATACATATTATATATGTATATGTATATATATATCCCCACACACACATAAATATTAAACCAGCATTTTAAACTTAACAAAGCAATACATCTGAGAACAAAGAGGCCATATTCGAAGCAACAACCTATTTTTCAAAGAATTCAAAATGCGTGGCAGAGAAATAGTAATGCAAAATCCAGACAACCACATTTTAGGTCATCAGACAGTACTCATAATCTTTTATATTTGTAAAACACTTGACATAGTACAAAGTGCTTTCCGATCCATTATCATGCCTGATCCTTGTCTTATCTCAACACAGAAGATAGGAGCTTCTTTTTTTTTTTTTTTTAACCTCTTTTATCAACAGTAAACTCAGGTTCAGAGAGTTGTCATGACTCAGCCACCTCTCCCACCACCAGCAAGTGGTGAGCTGGGGTTTAAAACCTGGGTCACCTCATTCTAAATCCCACATTCTTTGTAGAATATTCTGGGGGCATTCTGAGCATCGTAGGAATGGCTGTGCTATGTATAGAGGCACAGTATCCAGGAGTGTATAAAGTAGGTCCCGTGGTTAATGCACCTGGACCTCCATTTTCTTTAAAATTCCCATCCTATGGGTGGTGCCTCCTCCGGTAGTCTTCCTAGGAATGGTGTGGGTCTTTTTTTTTTTTTCACAGATGCTAACCCAATGCATTTTAGTCAGAGCTGCTTCTAGGGAGACTGCAAGGTGTTAGTGTTTCATGTCAGACCCCTGTGTAATGCTGCACCTGCCTCAATTTCTCTCAGCCTGTATTGTTGGCCACTGGGAATTGTCACCCTCTTGGTGCCGAGTCCAGGATGTGGCTTCTTCAGGAGCCACCTGATCCCTGTCTGCTTGGAGAACAGAGCCTGCAGATACAGGAATCGGGAGGAGGAATGTCCTCACCTCTGTGTAAGGTCCCTTTGCAGAAAATGACCTCATCAACCTGTCCTTAAACTGGCAACGGGAAGCAGCTCAAAGGATAGAAAAGCTTGATTTAGTCCTTCAAAAGCAGCACAGCTATTTTTAATACTGTTTACTGAAGTGTAATGTGCATGCAGAGAAACATACCATATCCCACCTATCCAGCTCGATGAATTTTCATAAACTCATGAAACCAGCACCCAGATTAATATTAAAACCCCTGAAGCGCTCCTCCTGCCCTCATATTCTTCACCCCTCCAAGGTCACTGCTGCCCCCTCTTCTATCAGCAGAGGGCCACTCCTGACATGCAGGCTCTTATAGGTGAGGAGAGGCCGTATCGATGACTTTGGTGCAAAAGAGAAGACAGAATGACTCTGGTTCTTACAGGCCATGGTAACAGCAAGGGTAACAGCTCAAATGCATTGTGCTTTTGCTCTGAGTCAGGCATTAGGCTAAGCACATATTTGATCTCAGCAGCATCCTTGGGCGGTTGCTGCCATTCCCATTCTGTGGATCAGGAAACTGAGGCTTGGGGTCGGGGAGAAGGGTCTTATCCAGGGTCACACCCTGCGAGTGGCTGACACAGGATTCCATCTCAGGGAGCCTGGTTCTGGAGAACTTGGGCTCTGGCCACTGTTTTGTCATCGTAGCTCACAAGAGCCTTCCCTTGGCTTGCAGATTGGCCACCGGGATTTTGACGTGGAGAAGCGTCTTCGGAGGGACCTCAGAAGGACCCATGCGCTACTGTCAGATGTGCAGCTCCTTCTGGGCACCATGGAAGACAGCAAGACGACAGTCAGCAAGGAGGAGCTGGAGAAAGTGCACAGCCAGGTGGGTGCAGAGGGACCAAGTGGGGCGGGTGCTGCAGGCGGTGGGAACAGCTGTCCGTCCCAGGTGTGGGCGTGGCCACACCGCTGACCTCCACTTTCCAAGACCTGCCTGGAGATGGGGACACTGGGGGTAGGCTGGGTCACCTGGAGGTGGGAGATGACAGGGAGGGTTTATAAATGAATGACCCCTGTTCAGGGCTAGCAGAATGCATCTAGGGGGCTTGGGCAGGTCAGGGCTGAATGCAGAGAGAGAGAGAGAGAGAGAGAGAGAGAGAGAGAGAGAGAGAGAGAGAGAGAGTGTGTGTGTGTGTGTGTGTGTGTGTGTGTAACACATAAAAGTGCCAATAATGCAAAACCCACCCCTAACAGCAGCAGCAGACAGTAGTGGTTTAATGCCTGCTCGGATGCTATCGGTGTCCATCCTCATATGATGTTGGTCTCTGGCTCTCACCTGCAGGAGCCCAGGCTTTGTAGAGCCTACACATTACATAGTGTTCTCAGGAGTGTTGGGGGAGCTGAGAGTCATCACCTCCATGTCACAAGTGAGGTGAACTAGGTGCAAAGAGGGGAAGTGACCCTCACAAAGTCACACAGCTAGCAAGTGGCAGAAGCAGGATTCGCAGTCAGGTCTTCACCATCCCTGGCTGACTCAGAGTTGGCCTGGAGGTGGGTGGTAGGTGTGGCGAGGCAGGAGCTAAGGACCAGGCAGATGTGACAGGCTTGGGCTGCACTGAGCAGAGACAATGTGGCCCTGGGTGGCGGGTGTTGAGAGGTGTGAGGTCAGGTTCTGGGGGGCTGGAAGACTTGGGGAGAGAGGCTTCAGAGCCAAATGATGTAACAGGGAAACAGGATTTGCTTCCCATCCCCATGGGGAGCTGGACCCATGGGAGGCACAGACTTGCTGGAGGTGGTGTATGCATGCATTTGGTGTTACCTTCTCAGCCACACACCTCCCTCGGAGAAGCCATTTGTGCATATGTCAGGCAGAGGGTGGAAGGCATTCCCTGCTGCCTTCACCCCCTCACCTTCTTGGATCATTGCCGCCCCTTCTTCTTCTTTCTCGGGCCTTCTATCATATGGCCACAGTCACCACATGGCCAAGGGCTTCTTTATTGTCACAGAATACTGCCAGAACTCAGATGGGTAATCTGTTAATCTGTACTTATTAGACAGACTCCCAAATGAAACTTCCTGAGGACAGGACTCGGCTTCAAGTCTGATGGTGCCCATCCAGTCTACTGCACATAATACATACTGAATAAGTGCCTCCCTGTTGGATTCAAATGACTTGTTTGACAAATGAGGAAACCAGGGAACAGAGAGGGTGAGGATTTGCCAAAGGTCACACAGCCTGTTAAAGGCAGAGCTGAACCTTGACCCCACATTCCCTCACTCCAAAACCAGTGCTCCTCTCTTCTGGAAAAGCTGTGACAGCCAGCAGGTCCCCAGGAAGGCAGCAGGAGGCAGCAGAGTCCAGCTCCAGATCTTAGAAACTTACCCAGAGCTGCCTCCACTTGCCATCTCTGACGTCAATTTTCCATATGTGAAATGAAAGGTTTTAGGTAGAGATTATTAGCTAAAATAGAAAACTTTTTAAAATACTAAATTCTAGGCTTGGTGCACATTTCACCAGTGTCTCCGTTAATATGCTTTTCCTGCCCCAGGATCCAAGCTCCACACTGCATTTGGGTGGCATGCCTGCCCAGGCCCCTGTGGTCTGGGACTGCTTCCTGGTCTTACCTTATTTTCATGACCTTGACTGTTTTGAAGACTACTGGCCAAGTATCCTGCAAAATATCCCCAATCTTGGTTTTCCTGATATTTTTCTCATGATTAGACCAGGTTTATGGGCTTTTGGCAAGAACATTGCAGAGCTTCAGTGCTGTTAAACCAGAAGACACTTAGAGGTACTTCCCTCTTACATCTCTATGATTTTTCACAGTTTCCTTCATCAAGTCATGCTCTTCTAGGCCAGCCAGCTATCTCAGCTTGTCCCAGACTGTCCTGGTTTTAGGACTGAGAGTCCCATGTCTCAGGCAAGCCCTCCCTGCCAGGCAGACCAGGACAGTTGGTCCTCTTCATGCCCATGTCAGAAAATTAGAATCATCTGTATTAGAATGCATCTCTTCACCCAATCCTCACGATAACCTCTGGGGGTGAGGAAGTGATATTGTGCCCATTTTACAGATGGAGAAATTCTGTTCCAAGGTGGGAAGCAATGTGCCCAAGGGTGACAGAGCAAGTTCTACATGCAGAATCTGGGGGTCCTTTTGCTTTACCCTGTGTCTTCCTGTCTGTCTGGCCAATCAGGTGGGTGGAGGCCCCTGAGCTTTGAGGACTTGCCTCAGGTGGGCAGAGATGTCCATGGGCTCGGGCAGGGGTCAGGCATCTCGGGCTTGTGCAGCCCTCTTGACAAAGGGCCTGTCTCCCACCAGAATATCTCCCCTCCCCACAGGTGAATATTCTTGAAAAGGAACCATAGCGGTTTTGTTTCTTTCTTCTTTCTTTCTTTTTTTTTTAGTATTCATGAGAATCTCCCTCTGCAGGGTTAAAATGTGTGTTCTTGGAAAAGAGTGGTATTTAATGAAGGCGCCTTGAGCTGAATCAAAGGGCTTCATTCTTTCTCAAAGTCCTTCTTCCCCGTCTCCGCATCCGGCTCCTATCAAAGGGAATTCACAGCCTTGGCTTTCTGTTGCGTTGTCATGGAAATCGGTGTAAGGATGGGGTGGTATGGACCAGAGGTCAGGGTACAGTTGCTTTGGCTCCCAGCGCACGTGTCCCGGATGCGGGAGTCAGAGCTAATCGAATGAAGCAGTGATGACACTGGGCATTGCCGCGTCTCCTTTCTGATGTGTGGCATTTGTCCTTTACCTGAAGGCTTCCGGGACAGAAGCAGGGAGAGCTGACAGGATGGGGAGCAGTGGGGGCAGGGAACCCACCTTACTGCTGGCTGGGGGCGGTGCTGGGCAACTCCAGTCACTCACTGTTCCATGCGGCACCTACTATGTGTCATGTGAGATGGGACAGCTTGGTGTGTGATGGTTAATAAGACAGATACCCTCCCATGTGAAACTTACATCTGATGGAAAAGAAGACAAGCAAACAATGACACAGATCAATAGAAACACCCCACACCTTAATTTGGGTAATAAAGGAAATAAGCAAGAAAAAGGCCCTGGAATAAGAAATTGGGAGGGGTCCCTGGCAGGAGGAGAAGCAGGCGGGGATCAGAACATGCGACCTGGAAGGCTTTGGTTTTATTCCAAAGGTGGTGAGAGCCATGGAGCGATTTGGAGCAGAGTGTGAACATAATCTGATTCATGCTTTAGAGGATCACTTTTCTGTGTGGAGAAGGATGGAAGGGATGAATGGATGCCGTTTGGAGGCTGGAGTTCCCTTCTAGGCCAGAGGAAAGGTCCACCTGGGTTAAGTGCTGGCAGAGATGGTGAGAAGGGACAGACTTGGGGTTGGTTTGAAGTTGGTAGGACTTGTAGATGGTGTGGGTAGCAGCAATAAGTTCACTATTTAGGTAATCCTCCCCATAATCCTGGGAGATGGATATTACTATTTTGACCCACTTTACTAAAAAGTATTTGAGTGATTTACTACCCATGGGCATACAGTGATGTCTGTCTGAAAGCTCTGAGTGCCAACAGGTCTGTCCCCGTGTAACTTGGCTTGTGTAGTTTGGGTCCTGTTAACATTTGTCAAGCACCTGCTATGTACCAGGCTTTTTCCTGGGGTCCCTAGACTTGGCCGCACATCAGACAGTTTAAGCACTGATTAAAAATCGCAGATTTCTCGATCTTACCTGAGATGTTCTTTTTTTTTTCCAGCAAGTCTGGGCTGGGACTTGGGGGTCTCCACTTTTTTTATTAAGGTATTTATGAAGGTTTCACATGATAACCATTGTGGACGCTACATTTACCCATATTATGAAGTGTCGTCCCCCCCCATTGAAGTCACTGTCCATCAGTGTAGTAAGATGCCACAAAGTCACTACTTGTCTTCTCTGTGCTATACTGTCTTCCCCATGATCCCCCCCACACCATGTGTACTAATCATAATACCCCTCAATCCCCTTCTCCCTCCCTCCCCGCCCACCCGCCCTCCTCCACCCCTTCCCCTTAAGTAACTGCTAGTCCCTTCTTGGAGTCTGTGAGTCTGCTGCTGTTTTGCCTCATTGTTATACTCCACAGATGAGTGAAATCATTTGGTGCTTGTCTTTCTCCACCTGGCTTATTTCACTGAGCATAATACCCTCTAGCTCCATCCATGTTGTTGTAAATGGTAGGATTTGTTTTCTTCTTATGGCTGAATAATATTCCATTGTGTATATGTACCACATCTTCTTTATCCATTCATCTACTGATGGACACTTAGGCTGCTTTCACGTCTTGGCTATTGTAAATAGTGCTGCGATAAACATAGGGGTGCATAAGTCTTTTAGAATCTGTGATTTTGTTTTCTTTGGGTAAATTCCTAGGAGTGGAATTCCTGGGTCAAATGGTACTTCTATTTTTAGTTTTTTGAGGTATGTCCATATTGCTTTCCACAATGGTTGAACTAGCTTACATTCCCACCAGCAGTGTAGGAGGGTTCCCCTTTCTCTGCATCCTCGCCAGCATTTGTTGTTCCTAGTCTTTTTGATTTTGGCCATCCTAACTGGTGTGAGGTGATATCTCATTGTGGTTTTAATTTGCATTTCCCTGATAATTAGCAATGTGGAGCATCTTTTCATGTGCCTGTTGGCCATCTGAATTTCTTATTAGAGGAATTGTCTGTTCATATCCTCTGCCCATTTTCTAAAAGGGTTATTTGCTTTTTGGGTGTTGAGGCATGTGAATTCTTTATATATTTTGGATGTTAACCTCTTGTCGGATATGTCATTTACATATATATTCTCCCATACCATCCATGGCTTTTTGTTCTACTGATGGTGTCCTTTGCTGTACAGAAGCTTTTTAGTTTGATGTAGTCCCGTTTGTTCATTTTTGCTTT